AAGAGATCGGCTACAGAATCCTACCAGCCCTCTGGACCTCGGTGGTTTAGAGTGTTTCCTCTTCCACCCCTCCCTCTTACCCTTCGGGGAGGGGTTTACCACTCCCCCTACCCCCTCCGCGTGGACCTGGACGTAAGGGGCGGGGAGGTGTCAGAGCGTCCAAAACGGCCTCGGCGAGGAAGCCAAAATCATTGATTTGAATAGGGTTTGGGCCCCATGTTGGCCTCCTGGGGGGACAAGGCTAATTAATGCTCCGCACTTCTGAGATAGATCTCCTCCAAGATGGCCCCAAGAAGCGCCCAGGAGGCCCCAAGAGGTCCCAAGATGGCCCCAAGATGGCCCCAAGAGGCCCCCAAGAGGCCCCCAGGAGGCCCCGAAGAAGACCCTCAGCGGCTCCAAGAGGCCCCCCCCCGAGGCACCCAAGATCTCGAAGAGCCCCCCAGGATCGCCAAGAGACCCCCAAGACGTCCCAAGAGGCCACCAAGAATCGCCCAAGAGATACCCCAAGAGGCTCCGAGAGGCATCCAAGAGGCCTCTGGCCCTTGTGCTTGCCCTCCTCCTCCTGCTGTTCCTCCTTCCTGCTCCTACTCCTTCTCTTCCTCCTCCTCTTCCTCCTCCTCCTCCTCCTCCTCCTCCGCCTCCTCCGCCTCCCCCTCATCCTCTTCATCCTCCTTCGTCCCACTCCCTCATCCATCCATCCATCCACCTCCTCCTTCTCCTCCTCACTCCTTTGCACGGTTCGGCCGTCCTCCTCTTTGCTGCCGCAATTCCCTGATCACCTCCACTCGCCTGGACATCGTTTCTGGATGGGTTGGTGGGGATATTTTTTTGGGTTCGCGGCTCCAAGGCGAGGGAAAGGGAGCGAGCACAACGTCCGGGGCGCATGACGATGTAAATTGGCATCAGAAGCGAATGCACGGCCCAGGGACAAAATGACCCTCATTAAGACGCATACTGCGTCGGCAGGAGACCGGCCCAGACATCCCGGCAAATGGGGACGCACGCGCGGCGACCGGCGGCGAAACGGGGGGGAGAAGTCGCCCTTTCGGCGCCAAACTCCAGCCGAACCACATTCGGTGAGGCCAGGAGGCGGGGGAGGGGGGGGGGAGAACGGAAGGGGGGACGGGGAGAGAGCGAAAGCGAGCGACTACCACAGGCTCACTGCAGCACCACGAGTCAACGATGGTGCGGCGAACGAAGCCTGACTCATCAAGGCTCACTGAATCTGAGGTGTGGCTGATCCGCGCCGAAGCGCCATGCAGTAGAGGAAGACCACTGGTGTGCGCTCACGAGGCTGAGCCACCTCCAGCCAAAGCCAGTGCGTGCACATCGTATCCGACTCTCGCAGTTCGGAGGCAAAACGATGCAAAGTACTGACGGGGGCTGGTTGCAGACTGCTCTGCCGGGGGAACGACCACGAACTGCAGAAGGCTGAACCACTCAATGCAGGGCCGCTCCCTGACGAAGCCAAACAACGGGTGTCACCGAATGTATGGCTGACGGCCGCGCCCGATCCACACCTCCAGCCGGGAGCCGGTGTGTGCACATTGTCTCCGACTCACGCATTCGGGGGCACAACGATGCAAAGTACTGACGAGGGCTGGTGGCCGGGGCAGCTCTGAAGAGGCGACCACGCACTGCAGAAGGCTGAACCACTCACTGCTAGGCCGCACGCTTGCAAAGGTGTGGCTGATCCGCGTCAGAGCGCCGTCCAGTAGAGAAGACCACTGGTGTGCGCTCACGAGGCTGAGCCACCTCCAGCCGGTAGCCAGTGCATGCACATCGTATCCGACTCACGCAGTTCGGGGGCACAACGATGCAAAGTACTGACGAGGCTGGTAGCCGGGGCTGCTCTATGGCTGCGCCGAGAAGTGCGACACGAACTTGGACCGCAGAAGGCTGAACCACTCGATGCGGGGTCGCACACTTGACGAAGCCAATCACCATGTGTATGGAGGACAGCCACAGCCAATCACCGACTCCACGCTGCCCATGCAGCAGCTGGATGCCTCCGCCGCCAGGGCATACAGGTGGCTGTCTGCTGTCGAGCTGCAAAGCTGCACTGTTCGCTGGCGGCGTGCTGACATACCACTGCGTCCTTGCAGTAGAACCGTGGTTGGGTCGGCGATGAGGGACCGATACTCCTGGGCAGGTCCCAGGGCGGGCGCTCTTCAGCGTCCGATGCAATCTTCCCAGTTGATCGGGGGGGGGCGCAGCCGAAAGCCGCAGAGACATTGTGACGAGGGTCCGAAACTTCCTGGGCAGGTCTCAGGGCGGGCGAACTTCAGCCGCCGGTGCAATCTTCCCAGCAGATCGGGGGGGGCGCAGCCGAAAGCCGCAGAGACATTGTGAATGACGGAAGAGGAGGAGGAGGAGGAGGAGGAGGAGGAGGAGGAGGAGGAGGAGGAGGAGGAGGAGGAGGAGGAGGAGGAGGAGGAGGAGAAGGAAGGAAGAGGAGGGGGCGCCGCCAAGGCCGGGGACGCGTCGACTGAACCACTCGAAGCGGGGCCGCTCGACGGAGCCGATCCACATGTGAATGGAGGACACTCACCTCCACTCCACACCACCACGCGGTCCATGTAGAAGCCGTCTGCCTCTGACGCCAGGGCGCACAGGTGGCAGGAGACTGCCTACCTGCTGGGCTGTGCCGGTCGCTGGCTGCCCGCTGCCGTGCCAGGGCGACCTCTGTAGAACCATTGGCTGTTCCGCTGCGTCTGATGCAATCTCTGTCGACGGGGGGGGGCGCAGCCGAAAGCCGCAGAGACATTGTGAATGAGAAGAAGAAAAGAGGGGGCGCAGCCGAAAGCCGCAGAACACAGATATTCATGACCGCGGGGGGGTGGGGCTGAGCAAGGGCGGTTCGGCGGGTGATGTCGTCCACCAACCGCCGTCGTTCACTGTAGAAGTGCAGCGCAGGAGGTGGGATATTTCAGCCATCCGTCAATGCTGTCCAGAGGGGGGGCTGCCCTAGGGAGGTGGCACAGTCGACCCCCCGAGCCCGCGCAGGCAGAGGCCTCCACCGCTGGAGGCAGGGCCGTGGTCCCGTGCGGCAGCCGGCCGCAGGGAGGGAAAGGCCGGGCAAGGACCACGAATCCAGAGTGGGCTCTCTATGTGCGCAGCGCCCCGCGGAGGTAACACATGGTACTGCGGCCGAAGCCGGGCGCTGAAAGGTCCACGAGTCCAGCGTGGGCTGTCTATCTGCGCAGCGCAAGGGTATTGGTGCCCCTCCGCCCCGTCGGAGGTAGCACAGGGTATTGCGGCCAGGGCCGGGCGCTGCAGGTGAAACTGGCTGGGGGGGGGGGTGCGGCGAATGCCGGGCGGAGAAGAACAGGTGAGGGGAGAGGTGGTGTGTGATGCACCTACCAGGCGGCACGATGGGTGGTGGGCCGTGGCGACCACCGGTTCGCTGCCTGCCTTCGAGGGAGGCGTCGTAGCGTGGGGTCCTTCGGGAGCTGTTCAGTGCCTAGGCTGCGGGCACTCCCAAGTAGAGGGGGCCAACCACGGCGGTGGGTGCTCCTGCGCTGGCTGGGAAGGATGGGCCAGTCTCGCACGGGTCCGACGCTGCGTCCCCGTCCTCTTGATCAGGAGTCCCAACCTCGTGGACGCTTATCGGCGTATGGTGATCTCCTCTTGGGGAATAGCGCTTGCCCTTCGCCTTCCAATTTGTGTCGGTCCATGAAGCACCTTGGTGCCCCCACGTGTCCCATGACTGCCATCCGCGCCACGACGAGGCAGAGCTTGATGCACCAGTCCACTGATCTGGGGGGGGCGCACGTGCCGCCTCTTTGCCCGCTGTGGTCCAAGGGGGTGGGCGGCCACTGCTGTCGACCCCTCGAGCGGTGTGTGGTCTGGCGTCGCGTTGCAGGAGCCTGCGGTGTCGCTCCTTGACACTCAGCCAGTCAACTTCGAGTTTGCACTCTCTGTCCATCTTATAGGCATCGAATTCCGCTTTGCTCCATGCCTGGAGGAAATCGCTGCACTGCTGTACGGAGTTTAGCTTGGGATCAAGTTTGGTAAAGTGGTTCCCTCGCCTCGATGCTGTCTTCTTGACCCAGGCGCCCCAAACTCGTTGAACGCACCTCCCAGCGTCTTCTGCAGCTGGTGGGGATACGCGAAGCGTCTAGAATTGATTTACTCCAGAATTGATGTGTTCATCGAACCTGCAGCAGACATGCGTTTTCTGTGTTCGTGGATCTGAGAGACGTTCTACTCGCTTCACGCAGGACTTCGACGAACAAACAAATTCTTGGGGGCAGAGATCCATTCTGCAGTCGATCCCCTACGCCGACGTCACCTGCATCTCGAGGCAGGCCTGGCCTAACCTGACCAGATCGATCGGGGTCTGCCATTCGCCCCCAGCTACGGAACCGAAGAACGACATAAAGCGAGGCGGGAATCTAACCATATCCACCCACCGCCTGGGAACCGACGTCCTGGTGCCCCAGCGGGCGGTGGATATGGATGTAGTTCGGCCCCCGGGGGCCCGAATGTGTCCATATCCACCGCCTGCCGAGTCTCCGAAAACTGCGCGTCCAGGCGGTGGTCATGTGAAAATTCCCGCCTCGGGATTTCTCGGATCGGCGCTGGACACCCCCCCCCTGCCTGGCGCCTGGTGCGCGCCAGGGGCGGCGCCGGAGGCTCCGCCAGGGGGCCTCAGCGCGGATCCGAGGAATCCGCGCGGAGCTCGGAGCTATCATATTTATGTCACTTTTTGTTCCCATACCAGCGCCCCCAGGCGTTACGTCGGGCATGTCCTCCTACAGGCAGATTCGTAAGGAAAAGATGCACATAGCCGAACCACTACTCAACAATAGCCAAAAATAGTTTTAAAAGTCGTCCCCAGCCGATTGTTCGACTACTTTTGAAAGTTCCTCCTGTAGAGGGACAGGCTCGCCTCAACCCCAGCGCCCCCGCGCCTGGCGGCGCCCGTTGAGGGCATCGCGGCGGGGAGCCAGGCCGCCGCCAGCGCCGCCGCCGCGCGCGGCCGCGGCGCGCCCGCGCCTGCGCCCGCGCCTGCGCGGCAAGGGGGGGGGGGGGGGCAGGCCGCCTCGGAGCAGCACGCTGGCGGCCAGCGGGGTCGTCGTCGTCGTCGTCGTCGTCGTCGTCGTCGTCGTCGTCGTCGTCGTCGTTGTCGTCGTCGTCGTCGTCGTCGTCGTCGTCGTCGTCGTCGTCGTCGTCGTCGTCGTCGTCGTCGTCGTCGTCGTCGTCGTGGGGGAGGCAGCACCAGCGGTCGGTTGCGCGCAAAGGGTAGAGGGGAGGGGAAGAGGCCTCTCAGAAGCACCCCTGCTTCTAGGAAGGCGCTGGCCCTTGTGTACAGATGTGAGTTCAAGAAGCCTTCCCCCCTCCCCCATACCCACTTGTGCGCGCCACCAAAGCGATCAGCAACTGAAGGACCCCTTCGGAGACAACACTAGCGCTCAGCAGTTGGAGGACCCCTGCGCGACCGAGTGGAAGAGGGGCAGAGTCAGGAGGCCCAAAACGTCAGGGGTAGAGGATAGTTCTTGCAGACGTCTCAAGCCAAGCGACCCGTACTGCCTATCCCTAGTGCAGAGACGGGGGCCTAAGTCAGACGACGCCTTCACTGTCATATTAGGACTACGGGCTTGATCAATCTTAAACAAAACAACGTAAACATAAACTGTCAAAGGTCCGCGCGAATGTCTTGGATACGCCCTGGAGCCCCCTGGCGACTGCTTCGGCGCCGCCCCTAGCGCGCTCCGCGCGCCAAGGAACGGAGGTTGGGAGGGCTGGGTTCAGTGGGACCTGGTTTAGTGGTGTGAACTGCGGGACGCCCCCCCCGCCCCATTCCACTAAGTGACTGGAACTGCCGCCACCCGAGGACAAACCCCAGGTACGGCAGACGGGGCCTGATGAATCCGGCAATCTTTTTGGGGGCTTCAGGGCCCAATCACTAGCCGGCCCCCCCTATCTGGGGTCCTGGCTACAGTCATCGTGTTACAGTCATCGGCCTGACCTAAGGAACGAGCAATAAGGAAAGAAGCCCCTTTGTTTCCCAAGGAACACCAGGGGGCTCGCCGCCAAAAAGGTAGCAGAACGCATGCAACCCTAAGGAACGACCAAACCCATTTTGAAAAGGAAGTGTTCCTTGCTCAAGCCGCTCACTGTACAATCGGAAGCGCCAACGAACGAACGAAAGGGCTTCTCTGCCATCGGCGAGCCTCGGCAAAGAGCTGCAGCAGGCACCCCTGCCCAGATCTTCGGGGAAAGGCCCCCAAGAGACCAGAGCCCCTCCTGAGCCCAAGAGTGGTACCTGTCCCGGAGCCTCGAGTGGATATCCGAAGCGACGGTACGAGAATGATGTCGTGATGCGCATGGTTCAGGACACGTTTCAGGAATTCTGGAACACGTGGTGGCCCTCGAATCTGCAGCCCGTGCGGAACAGAATGGGAATCCGAGGAAGAATCGTGGAACGCATCGTCATCATAACCTCTTAATCCTCCGAAGCGATTGGCGGCGCGCAGAGGGGAGTGGGGGGAGGGGGGAAGGCTTCTTTCTCTTGGAAGGTGCTGGCCCTGTAGCTATAGAGAAGGCCCGCGCCTTCCAAAAGGAAAGGGTGTTTTCAAGAAGCCTTCCGAAACGAGCCCGCCCGCTGCCTGGCGAGCCTCCCCTCGACGCTCTCCAGCGGCCCCCGGGCAGGCCCCCGGGTAGGCCCCCGGGTAGGCCCCTGGGCAAGCCTGCCCCGAGCCACGCAAGGGCCTCCTGGACGCCGGGCTCGCGGGTCGGGCCCTGCCGTCTTGACCCCCTGGGCAGCAGAGGAATGGACAAGCGCGTTCCACTACTTGCAAAGTAGCTGCTCGCAAATGGCCTGGACCCGCCGCGGGGGATTCACGACACATTACACAGAGGAAGACAGATGCTTGTCGGACATTTGCGAGGAGCCACTTTGCGAGTGGTGGAACGCGCCCGGTGAAGGAGGGGCGCAGACCGCTGCGCCCTGGAGGCCGACAGGGCTGAACCTAAACGGTGTTTTTCGTTTTCGTTTTGTTGTCGTTTTCCCTTTACCGCAAAACGAAGTCGAAACGAAAACGGCCCACGAAATTACCAAAAACACCGTTTAGGTCCAGCCCTGGAGGCCGGAAGGCGGCCAGGGGGCCCGATGAGCCGAGTCGGCCAGCCTGCAGGCGCAGTCCGAGGCAGGAGGAGGAAGCGCAAGACAGCCGCACCCTCGCGGCACGCGCAGGGCCGCGGCGCTGCTCTGGAGAGGGGCGAACGGAGGAGGAGGAGGAGGAGGAGGAGGAGGAGGAGGAGGAGGAGGAGGAGGAGGGAGGAGGAGGAGGAGAAGGAGGAGGGGGAGGAGGAGGGGCAGGAGGGGGAGCACCTGTGGCAGTGGTGGTGGAAGATTTGCCCACCGACCCGTCCTTTCCGAACCCGTTTCGATCGTCCCGAACCCCTTGGCTGCGAGGCCTCGTGGCCGGACCCCCGGCGGCGCCGCGGCCGGGCGCCCACGCGCCGGCGCCGGGGCGCAGCGCCAGGCGGCGCCTGCCATGGCGGGGCGCGGGCGTCAGGGGGCGCCTCGAGCCAATCTGGAGGAGGCGGCGGCAGAGCGGCATCGGGCCGCATGTCTCCAATGATCAAAAGCAGATACTCGAAGGGAAGATTTGCCCCCCCCAGGTTAGGAGCCCCGAGCTGCCCTCAATCAACCAGCAGGTTACAATCTGGAGGATGAGGAGGAAGATGAGGGCGACGACGAGGACGACGAGAATTATCAAGGAGCAGATGAAAGGTGGCCTCCGCAGTGCAGTCAGGCAGCCCACATCCTCGCCACCTGGGGCGAGCATCTCGCCGTGGGCACCGACAGGCGTGCCTCCACGACGCAAAAACAAAACACGATGAGGACGACGAGGATGAGAGGAGGAGATGGAAATGGGCAATGGTGCATAGGTGGTCCGCCCAGCCGCGACGCGGCAAAGGCGAGACCAGTCGCCATCATCGATGGGCCAAACTCATGCGGTTTTGGCCTCCTTCATAGCCCTCCTGCACTCCCAAGCCGACTCAACCGTCGAATGGGCACACTCAAAACCGTGCGACGACGACGGGGAGAAGGACGACGAGGACGAGCAGGAAGAGGCGCCAAAGGGGGGGCCTCGAGCCAGTCTGGAGGTTGACGACCAGCGAGAAGCTTCCGACTCCGCCTCGCTCTACCGTCTCACAAAGAGCGAGGGCAGGCGACCGAACGCTCGCAAGAGGGAGGCCTCGCCTGTGGCTGCTCCCGCTGCGGTTGCTGCCTTCCACTGCGCCATAGGACGAAGAGGAGGAGGAGGAGGAGGAGGGCAACGAAGACAAGGAGGACGAGAACGACGAGCAGGACGCCAGAGGGCATCCCCCCTGCAGAGCCATAGCGTCCATAGCGTACGGCACCATGCGTTCAGATCCGATCAAGTTTCTCATTGCTTAGTCTCTCATTGTTTTATTACAAACCGCTTAGTATTCAGATTTCTAGGGAGTCCAACGGCCAGAGAAAGGCCGTCCAACAAACATACGTCCAGAGGGTTGTGTTTCAAAGCTTCTTGAGGGACATCCTCAAACAATTGGCAGGGGATCCATTTGTTTCCCGATGTCTCAAGCGAAACTTGGTTTTTGATGCAATACATGTAGGACATCAAGTTATCGCTTGAGACATCGGGCAACAAGTGACGGGTAGGCAATGGTTGTTTTAGGATGTCTCAGGCGAAACCTTGGTTTCTTCGAAATCCGTTAGTTTTCGGATTTCTGGGGAATCTGACGGCCAGAGAAAGGCCGACAAACAACAAACCCATTGGATTTTGCAAAAACTGAGGTTTCGTTTGAGGCATCCTCAATTCAAACAATTGGCTGAAGATCATTACTTGTTGTCCGATATCTCAAGCGAAATTCGTTGTTTGATTCAAGCTACCTTGAAAACCAAGGCGTCGCCTGAGACATCGGGCAACAAGTGATGAGGCGGCGCTGGTTGTTCGAGGATGTCTCAAGCGAAATCTTGATGTTTGCGAGATGTTCTGCTTTTTTTGAGGGGGGAAGCCTTTCTGCGGCCGTTGGCTTCTCCAGACAAAAAAAAAAAGACTCAGGTTTTCGAACAAAGCAAGGTTGCGCTTTAGACATCCTCAACAACCAGCGCATCCTCATCACTTGTTGCTCGATGTCTCAAACGAAACGTGGCCGCAGGATTCCGTAGAATACTCCTTATCAAAGCAGTTGAGTAAAACATTATGTTGGTAAACATTTCAACTGCAAGCATCTCCACAACGCGACTGGAAATGTATATGTTTACCTGCAGATGCTGACAGCAATTCCGCCAGGAAATCTTACCACATCACATCTTACGCATACCATAAAACGCGAGAGACGAAACGTCCAAACCGCCCAAGCCCTTATCGAGGCTCCAGTTTTTCCTCCTCTTCCAGTATCCCTTGCCTTCTCCTTCTCCCCCGCTCGTCCTCCTCGTCCTCCTTTTCCTCAACGTCCTACTCCCCTTCCTCCTCCTTCTACTCTTCCTCGTCCTCCTCCTCCGCATCCTCCCCCTCCTCCTCCTCTTCCTCCCACGCGTGTTCCCCGAACGCTTTCCAAACCCACCGGGGGAACACATGGTCCGACATCTAGGTCAAACTCTAGCCAACGCGTTCGGCTTCATATGCGTTCCCATAGAAGGATTGGGGCGGCGGTGATTCGCCGTTGGCGTTTTCGATGCGAGGGCGGAGCAAGTAGGAGTGGAGGGCGCAAGATGCGACGTGCCCCATTTTCAACGAAATCCCACAAGCCCTCTTAGGCGTGAGTGGTATAACGAGCTCGTTGTGCTAACCCCTATTGATCCCCTCTGGGGAGGGGGGTCCCCCTCCCCATACCCCCTCCCCGTGGGTCTGGAGGGGGGCGTTCCACAAGTGGTTGGAGCGCCCAAGATGGTCCAATATTGTTTTAAGAGGGTGCCAGAGAGCCCAACATGGACTCCAAGATCGCACCACATAGCTCAAGATGGTGCAAGATAGCTTCCAACATGCCACCAAGA